AGGCTGCTGTGACCTCCCCAAGAGCAGAGAGGTTTGCTGGTCCCTCTGCTCCAAACCAGCCACGCCTGTTTGCTTTGGAATGATGAGGCAGCAGCAGAAACGAGAGCAGCTTCTTGCTCTGAATTCAAATCTCCACTGGCCCCACGTTGTTTTCCACAAGGACAACGTCACATGGTGACACAAACACTTTCTAGGAGAAATCTGGGAATGGCTTTAAAGCTTCTGCAGAGAACTGGGACAGAGCTCCCCTGGCCTCGGGCTACTCAGAGAAACATTTCTGCCTCTTTCTTCTCTGCCCATAACAGGAGGATAGCAGGCTCTTCCCAAGGACTTTGTAAAGAGCAACTGAGAGCCACTGCATGGTCTCTCCTGTAGAAGGGAGAGTTCCTGCTCTCACAGGAAAACATGCTGAGGACACCAGGTATTTCTGCAACTGCAGAGGTGCAAAGTAACCAACAGCAGAGGAGCCCACCTGTAAAAAATAGTAGCCAGGGCTTTAGCCACGGAGAAGGGATCCTTCTTCTGCAGAGGAGCAGCCTCCACCCACTTGGTGAAGTAGTCAGTCACAAGCAGGACGTGTGTGTTGCTCTGGCTTGTCTCAGGAAAAGGCCCTGCATAAACAGCCATCAAAAAAAAATCAATGTGATGCCTTCATATCCCCCAAATGGGCAAAGTGAAAAACCCAGCCGCTGCGGAAGTGACCACGACTCTCTTCTGCAATGTCCTTTGGCCAGAACATTTTTGGTGACCTTGGTCAGCAAAAATACACCCATGGGAGCCTCAGTTCTGGGGAAGAGAGCCTGCCCACAGCTCTCACGGTGCGTGCAGAGGGAGCCCAGCCAAGCCCAGGGATCGGGTTGCAGCCTGGGCGGCTGCTGTGGCCTCCTTGGCACCTCCTCAGTGCGTGTGGCAGCAGGTCTGCCACGCTCCCCGCTGGAGGGAGGAGCCCCGAGAGCCTCTTGAGACATTCACACTCACTCACCGTGGATGTCTAATCCCAGCACTTCCCAGGGGGATTCCACCCTGACGGGCCGGGCTTTCCGCGCCACGCTCTTGTTGTGCTCCGCGTTCTGGCACGTTTCACACATCTTGATCTGGAGAGAGAAAAGAGGGATCAAAGGGCTTGGGAACGTGGTGATGGATCCTGTCAGACTCAGACTGCACCGTGAGACACACAGCAGGGCTCAGCACTTTCCCTTCTCCCAACAAAATAACGAGGTGCAGGAAAAAAAGAGGGCGAAACACAACAGGCTGACGCATCTCACCTTTCTCAAGGCTTACCTGACAGCTTCCTCTGACACAATAACCAAATTTCTCAACGTTGCCTACAGCTAAGCTATTTCTCACCCAGTTTCCAGGCGAATTTTCATTGTATTTTGACCTCCTAGTGCTGGTTAGAGAAATCCTCAGCCCTAGGATGCTGCAGGAGCTCAGACCATGCAATGCAAGCACACTCCTTAAACCACAGTGCTGCAGAGTCCTGCTGCAGGGAGCTGCCAGCAATGAAACAGGCAAGGCAAAGCAGCCGAGCAGACACTGAGATCCTCCTCTTGCCATAGTTTAGGGAATTGGGCAGCTCTGGAAAGAATCCAAACTGCCCAAAGGTGGACTCAGCAACTTGTCTGAAACAACCCCACATTGCCATGCTGATCAAAACTGCACGAGGAGGCTGGGGAGGCTTCCTGACACTCAGAGGAAGACATCCAGGCTGCCCAGCTGCCTGGGGACGCTGCAAGGTTCACCTGCAGAGAGCTCGGTGTGTGGTTTCCCAGCACATGCACAGGCAATGACATCACCCCTGCACCAGCGCTCCTGTGGCTGCTGCCTCGGGCCTGCTGCCAGCACCGGTGTCACGGACACGGTCACTGCTCTCCACTTACCCAGTCCACAACATCCTTCACGATGCCCAGCCAGTAGTACCGGCTCTGGATGCGGTGCACGGTCTTTTTCTGGCCCAGGTGGTTCCCGATTTCGGTGAAATGGCTTTCCAGGAACACCTGGCGCCTCCGCTCGGGGTCCACGATCACCTCGCGCTTCTCTTCCTTCTTGGGTCCCACGTAGTAGAGGCAGCCGCCTGCGGGTGCCAGAGGTTTGGCTGCAACACCGCCCTCGCACAGCCGCCAGAAAAGGCTCATTTTGCACAGTGGGGAACCCAGCTGGGACACGGCTCGGGGGCTGCTCTGCCTGGGCAGCTCCGGCTGCCCCTGGAAACTGGAAACACCCC